AACCCACAGTTCCAACTACTCACTCCCTCTGGGTAGCTGGCTGTGGCCAAGAAGTGACTACAACCTTGTCCCTGGTCAGCTCTACTATACACCTGGACATTCTTACAGCACATACAAATACACGTGTAGAAACATCGTCTGCCAACCCTCTACATGATCATGGGCACCGTCCCCTCTCCGTAGACATACCTGATCGTTCAGCCTGCCCACCCTTCTGTCTGCCCGTGTATCATGTTTGCCTTCACCATAAGCTGTCTTTAGTCTTGATGGACAACCTTCTAAAGCAACGAGACAGGTGCTTCTCAACCTTCCTGCCCCCCAGCCCGTGCCTGGCCCTGGTTTCCATTCGTCCCAGCATTCCCTGCTGTCCACGCAGACCCCGTGTGGCTGGGGAGAACCTTCTGGGCGTGTTTGTCCCCCACAGATCATCAAGCCCTCCCCCAGCACGGAACTCATACCTGACGGGTCTGCAGAGGAGGAGCCCGAAGAGGTCGAGGGGTCTCTGGAGTCCGGCATGCTGACCGAGTCCGGGGAGCTGGACGGCTCCACCTCCGTGGGGGGCTCGGCCGTCCTGCCGCCGTCCGTCGGCTCCGCCGAGGAGCTCGTGAAACTGCGGCCGCACATCGATCCGCGGCTGTGCCCGTCCCCAGGGTAAGGGTGGCAACGGGCGGGGGGCTGTCCCTAGGGGACAAGGGTGGCAGCAAGCCAAGACCCACACACACAGCATGCCCTTGCTCCTCCCAGGCCACAGGCCTCCCCGGAACCAGGCCACCGATCTCACCAGCATGGTCTCACCAGCATGATCACCACCGCTCTCTCTTCAGCGTGGGTGCGTGAAGGGCGTGAGGGCTTAGCGCCCCTGTGTCCTTCCAGCCACTGCAGTGCACAGGGCTGTCTCAGCTCCCACCCTCACCCGGTGCCCGCAGCCGCCTGAGACCAGGGGCGTGACAGGGTTGCCCCAGTGAGCAGTATACAACCTTGTTCCCCACCCTGCACCCTGAGTTCCAGCCTTCCGTTCCTAAACCCACTCTCAGTGACCCTTTAGGACTGAGGGGA